TATAACTTGCCTTTTCTCCCACTTAATATAACATGGATCTTTTTCCATAAAAATACATTTGGGATTTTATTTTTAATTTCTTTTGGAGATGGGGTCAGGCTCTGTTGCCCAGGCTGGAGTGCAGTGGTGCGATCATAGCTCACTGTAACCTTGAACTCCTAGGCTTAAGTGATCCTCCCAACTCAGCTTCCCTAGTAACTGGGACTACAGGCATGAGCTACTATACCTGGCAGATATTATTTTTAATGTCTGTATCTGTGCTGTCCATTATAGTAGCCACAAGCATTATGTGGCCACTGAGTACCTGATATGCAGCTAGTCCCAATTCAGATATGCTGTAATTGTAAAATACACATCAGATTTCAAATACTTTTATGACAAGAGGAATGTAAAATATATTAATTAAAAAAAATACAGATAGAGTCTCACTCTGTTACCTAGGCTGGAGTGCAGTGGTGCATAGCTCACTGCAGCCTCCACCTCCTGGGCTCAAGGGATTTTTCTACCTCAACCTCCTGAGTAGCTGAGACTACAGGTGTGTGCCACCATACCTTTTTTTTTTTTTAAGTTTTGTAGACACTAGGTCTTGCTAAGTTGCTTATGCTGGTCTCAATCTCCTGGCCTCAAGAGATCCTCCCTCCTCAGCCTGCCAAAGTGCTGACATTACAGGCATTAGTCACTGCACCGAGCACAGTAATAATTTTTATAACGATTGCATGTCGAAATTATAATGTTTTGGATATATTGGGTTAAATATATTATTTAAATTATTTTTACCTGTTTCTTTGTACTTTTTTAATGTGGCTACTAGAAAATGTAAAGTTACATATGTGGCTAGCATTGTATTTCCATTGGACAGCACTGCCCTATCTCCATAGTATGTAATGAATTAACTCCATCCCTATGCAGCCAGAATGGAAGAACTGAGAAAACGGTCACCCAAATCTTTGTCTGGTTCTGTGGTTCAGAAGAGGATCACTAGCTTGCCCTCTTCTAACCAATGCTTAGTGGAGCCATCAATTAGGTCTACCACTCTGCAGTCCCTAACAACAGATCAGCTTAGGGATGGCTGCCAACTCTTATTTCTTTCATTCAAAGTTCACTAGTCAGCTGTGCCTGGTGGCTCACACTTGTAATCCCAGCACTTTGGAAAGCAGAGGTAGGCGGATGACTTGAGTCCAGGAGTTCAAGACCAACCTGGCCAACAGAACAAAACCCCATCCCTACTAATAAAACATAAAAATTAGCTGGGTGTGGTCATATGAACCTGTACTCCCAGCATTCAGGAGGCTGAGGCAAGAGAATCACTTGAATCCAGGAGGTGAAAGTTGCAGTGAGCTGAGATCGCACCACTGCACTCCAGCCCGAGCGACAAAGCAAGACTCCATCTCAGAAAAACAAAACAAAATTCACTAGCCTCATACAAACCTTCATTCTTACCCTCTTTGCACCTCATTTTCTTCAACTAAAAAAACTGAGATAATAACAAATACAATTCAGAACTCTCATGAAGGTAAAACAAAAATCTAGAAAAGTTTGGCAATTTCTTATAAAGTTAAAACATACATCTAGCCTATCACTCAGCAATTCCATTCCTAGGTATTCACTCAGGAGAAATGAAAATATATATCTACACAAAGATTTTACCTAAATATTCATGGCAGCTCTCCTCGTAATAGCCCAAACTGGAAATAACCCAAATATCTACCAACTGGTGAATAGATAACAAATTAATGTTAAATCCATACAATGGAATGCTACTCAGTAATAAAAAGAAACATATAACATCATAGAAGAATTTCAAAGCTTTATGCTAAGTGAAAGAAGCCAGACCAAAAAAAAAAGATTATGTTGTATAAGATTCCACTTATCGATGACATTCTATTAATAGAAAGGATGAAAAAATAGTAAGAGAAAGCAGACGAGTAGTTGCCAGGGACCAGAGGGAGGGCAGGGACTGCAAAGGGGCACCAAGGAAATAATTGGAGTGATGAAAGTGTGTGTGTGTGTGTGTGTGTGTGTGTGTGTGTGTGTGTGTCAAGATTTATCAAATTGTATACTTTAAATTGGTAAATTTCATTGTATATAAATGTATTTCAACAAAGTTGACCAGAAAGAGAGAAACAAAGGGAGAAAGAAATATCTAATCCCTTGAGCACAGAAGTTCCAGACCAGCCTGTGCAACATAGTGAGACCTCATCTTTATAAAAAATGAACTTGGCAGGGCACGGTGGCTCACACCTGTAATCACAACACTTTGGGAGGCCAAGACAGGCAAATCACTTGAGATCAGGAGTTCAAGACCAGCCTGGCCAACATGGCAAAACCCCATCTCTACTAAAAATACAAAAATTAGCCAGGCGTGATGGCACATGCCTGTAGTCCCATCTACTTGGGAAGCTAAGGCAGGAGAATGGCTTGAACCTGGGAGGTGGAAGTTGCGGTGAGCCAAGATTGCATCACTGCACTCCAGCCTAGGTGACTCCGCCCACCTCCCCTTCCAAAGAAAAAAAAAACACAGACTTAGCCAGGTGTGGTGGTGCGAGCCTGTGGACCTAGCTACTCAGGAGGCAGAGGTGGGAGGATCGCTTGAGCCCAGAAGGTTGAGGCTACAGTGAGCCAAGATCACACCACTGCACTCCAGCCTGGATGACAGAGAGAGACTATCTCAAAAAAAAAAAAAAGAAAGAAAGAAAGAATTACAGAATTACTATAAAGCACTTGGCTTGGCACATAGTGAATGCTTAAACAATGTCAGCTATTATGACAAGTAACACTCCCTTTTCAGTATTACTCAAGATATCTAAAACCAAACTTAAACTCATCGTCTTCCTGGGAAAGCCAGCTACCCTACATCTACCTCGTACCACTTCTCTAATCATTTCTTGGTGCCTCTGTTTCCCTTGTGGCCTCTACTTGGCAGACTCTTCCTGCCCTCTCCCTGCCATAGACCTGAGCTGTGGCCTCTCTAACTTCACTGTTCCATTATCACCCTTGACTCTCTTCTTGTCTTTCTTCACCCTTTTTACTGCACCTTGTACACAGATAGCAAATTAAGCTTCCTAAAATGCCACTTTTATGAGCCACACATCCATTCAAATCCCCTCACTGTTGTTCAGATTCCTTAATCTGGAATCCAAGAGGCCCACAATTGGCTCTAGTCTTCCTTTTCCGTGTTTTACCCCATACCAGAATCTTTCCAAATAAACCCAAATGGAATGAATAAACAGACAAAGGCAGGAACCAAGTCTGTCTTGCTTAGACCTGTACCTCAAGTGCCTAGGACATGCCAGGAACACAGGGCATACTCACAGCAGTATCTGCTGAATGAACTAATGAACTCCTGAAGTCTACAAATGTAACCTTGGCCTCAGAGAAGAATCATTCTTCAGATTTTTAAACTAAGATCCTCATGGTGGGTTACTAACAGTTTGGAAGAGAATGAACAACAAGAGGGCCAGAAGGTGTTTCAGGATTTATGTGTTAAAGGCTATTAGGCTTCTATTTCTATTTCTTAAAAATAATAACTTAAATATCAATAAAACAATAACATAAATATTTTTTCCCTTTAACCTAGAATAGAGTAGAAGCTTCCAAACAGGCACACAGGAAGCATGGGATGAGTTGTAGAAGTCATAAGTGTGTTCATAACTCAGTTGGTTTATCACAGTTTTTACCATTACACAGTATTTTAATTGACTTTGCTCTTAGTCATATATGATTTCATTTACATCCATAATAAACCAGTGGCTAAATGTAGGCTCAAGCAATGCCAATGACAAAACACATGTTAGTGAGAAGTTAGTGAGAAATACAAGTGAGAATCATCAAAAAATGGTAATTCTACAAGTTGTCTGAGCATGCTGTTTCTCAGGGCCTTAAGTTGTATGCCTCTTACCACAATGTAAAAATATATAGAATTTAGATCCCAAGCAATATAATTTTTAGTAATATCTAAATAAATTTTTTTTCTATTTAAAATCACTTCTAGAGAGAGTTTCACTATAACTATGAAAGGCATTTGCAAGTTAAAAAAGGCTGAGGCATGCTGATTTAGAACGTTTCCTCCGAAATGCTGGCTCCTCTGTTAACCACTCCGAGTTCCCCAAGCCTTAGGGAGGACCTGACCAGCCTCTCCCCTGTGCACTGCTTTCCCAGGCAGAGGAGCCCTTTGGTATTTTGCTTCATTTTTGCTTTTGTGGCTGCTATATCCATCACTAGGATGTCAGCTCCCTGCTTCATTCATCTTTTTATCTTAATAGGCAGCACAGTGCCTGGCACCCAGAAGACTCTGTAAGTATCCGTTAATGTTCCTGAGATCAAACGTCTGTACAGGTACTGATGTTGGAACCACTCCAGTGATTAACAAAAGCTGGGAGAGGAAGAGCTGGCATGCTAGGGGCTGCCTCCCTTCAGATCTGGCCTCCAGGAGCTCAAGGCTAAGCCCCATGGCCTGCCCACTTGTCTTTTTTTTTTTTGAGACAGAGTTTTGCTCTTGTTGCCCAGGCTGGAGTGCAATGGTGCGATCTCGACTCACTGCAGCCTCTGCCTCCTACGTTCAAGCAATTTTTCTGCCTCTGCCTCCTAAGTAGCTGGGATTACAGGTGCCTGCCACCACACCTAGCTAATTTTTTTTTTTGTATTTTTAGTAGAGACAGGGTTTTGCCATGTTGGCCAGGCTAGTCTCAAACTCCTTGCCTCAGGTGATCTGCCCACTTTGGCCTCCCAAAGTGCTGGGATTACAGGCATGAGCCACTGCGCCCAGCCAACCACTTGTCTTTTTTGTCACCATTGAACACCAATAGCCAACTCTGCAGCCTGGTAAGGAGGCCCTGTGCTGCATCTCCCAAGCATGGCTGTCAAAAAGTGTTACTCCAGGGTAAAAAGGAAAAAACAGGGGGAAAGCTGCTCTTTGAGGTATCACTGATGTTTTTTGCCACTTATTAGCAGAGTAATCACAGTTGACAGTGAGACAAACTTTTAAATAAATAATTTTCCTCTTCCCATTCAAAACATACATTTGAATACCAAAAAAGCACTAGGCAGTACTCGAGTGCTCTGGCAAATACAACAGTGAGAAATGGCAAAACAGCTGACACTTAAGTGCTGGGCTCTGTTCTGAATGATCCATGTGGATGAGCTCAGTTAATCCTCACAGCAGTCCTAACATACTCTTTCTATCCTCACTTAACAGATGAAGAAACTGAGGCTGGAGAAATCAAGCAGCAATTTATCCAAGGTCATTAAACCATTGTCACTCTCCACAATTATACACAGTTTTACCTGAGTGGGATTGGAAGAGGGGGGGTTATAAACAGAAAACAGGGTAGTAAGAAGTAATAGACGTATAAAATGAATGTAGCTTTGGGGCAGATATACTCTATGGGAATTTCAGAGGAAGGAAAATTACATCCAGCTTGGCTGGCAAGAGGTAAAAGTGCCCAGTATCCCGCTTGACAGGTATGATGGTCAGTAGCAGTACACAAGAAAGGTTTCCTGAGCTTTACCTCCAATTCATTCTCAAATTCACTTATTCAGCAAATGCTTGCTGCATGCTTACTATCTATGTGCCAGGGACTGGCTAGTTTAAAACTGAATCAACACAGCAATACATCAATACATAAAGTCTGGATTTAGAGTTAAAAAAACAAAACAAGCCTCAAAGAGGCAGAACAAGCTGCCCGTGCCCTTTACCATCCACAGAGTGGGGAAAAGCAGAGGTGAGTCCTCTATGCACAGACCCTCCTGTCCAACCTCAACATCATGAGACCCCCTAGACCAGGGACTGCTCACCACTGCATTCCTAGAGACCAGAATGCCCAACAAAGGGCGAGAGCTTGAGAAGTACCTGTGGAACAAACCAGTGCCAGGCTGCTGCTGAATATGGTGGGCTACATGGTCACATGCATAGATGCCTACAGCATGGCAATGTAACACTCTGCCATTCCCTGTGCTCTCGTGGACCAGGCAGGGTGCTGTGGTGGTGGCCTGATGCTAGAGGTTTGGTGTGAACAGGCCCACTTCCTTCTGGCTTCATGTCCCTCTACTTCTGCAAAGAGGAACGTGAACAGGACTAAAGCGCAATGAGTCTCTGCCCAGGAATCACTTGTTACCTGGGGGAAGGGCAGGCTCAAAAGGAAGACAATGAATAAACAACGTTGCTTTCCCTTTTCACCATTACAGGTGGCTCTTAGACATTTTGAGATCCGGGATTCTCCCACACCAACACTCCATTCACTTCCCCCAGTCCAGCAAAAACGTCTCAACTGAATTAATGAGGAGAAATGACCTATTTCTGATGCACACATCAAAGAAATGTGAGCAGCCTTGTTTAAATATTATAAAGAGGTGCTGCGACAGCAGGTGGAGCCATGACTAGTGCTCCAGAACCCTGCTCTCCGGCACAGAGCCCTCTGCCCTTTCCCCATGCCACTGTCTAATAAGTCATCAGTGCACACACTTAAGCGCACTAGGCAGGCTGCAACCCAAAGCGATTTGTTTTCAAACTCACAGGACAAAGTTCATCTATTGTTCTAAATACAGGATTTGCTTAAAGTAGGAGCTCGATGGTATTATAGTACATTTTTCAGATGCATATGTTTCACCAACTACCACCAACTAAAATAAGTAATACTCTAAGTTTACAATTTCAAAAAGGTTTTTTCTTTTTCTTTTTTTTTTTTTTTTGAGAAAGTCTCACTCTGTCTCCCAGGGTGGAGTGCATTGGCATGGTTTCGGCTCACTGCAACCTCTGCCTCCCAGGTTCAAGGGATTCTCAGGCCTCAGCTTCCCAAGTAGCTGGGATTACAGGCACGCACCACCTTGCCTGGCTAATCTTTGTATTTTTAGCAGAGACGGGGTTTTACTATGTTGCCCAGGCTGTTCTTGAACTCCTGGCCTCAAGCCAGTCATCCATCTCAGTCTCTCAAAGTGCTAGGATTATAGGCATGAGCCACCATGCCCGGCCTAAAAAAGTTTTTCCAACAGTGATTCTTACCCTAAGACCCACAGCCTAAGAATGGGCTTCAGGTCAGTGAGGTTCTAAGAGGTCACAAAGATAGGTGCATGGGTGTTTATCGATAGAGGAGCAGTCCCTCTGATGAGATCCTTAAAGAAGTTGAGCCGGAAGAGCTTGTGCTTAGAATATATTCTGAAACAATTCCAATAACAATAGAACAACTTGGTTATTTCTTGGAGTTTGGTAAAGAGGTGTTTATATTAAATTAGTTTAGTAGCCTTGTAGGTTTAAAAAGAAAACATAACATATTCTGAGTTATAAAACAGGGTGATGACTAAGGCTTCTTTTTGGGGTATCAAAAATGTTCTGGCAGGGTGTAGTGGCTCACGCCTGTATCTTAGCACTTTGGGAAGCCAAGGCAGGCAGATCACCTGAGGTCAGGAGTTCAAGGCCAGCCTGGCCAACATGGTGAAACCCCATCTCTATTAAAAATACAAAAATTAGCCAGGCGTGGTGACGGGTGCCTGTAGTCCCAGCTACTTGAGAGGCTGAGGCAGGAGAATCACTTGAACCCAGGAGGCGAAGGTTGCAGTGAACCAAGATTGCACCACTGCACTCCAGCCTGGGCAATAGAGTGAGATTCCAGCTCACAAAAAAGAAAGAAAGAAAGAAAGAAAATGTTCTAAGATTGATTGTGGTGATGAATACACAATTCTATAAATATACCAACAGACATTGAATTGTATGCTTTAAATAAGTGACTCATGTGGTATGTGAATTATATAAAGATTTTTTTTCTTTTTTTTTTTTTGAGACGGAGTCTAACTCTGTTGTCCAGGCTGCAATGCAGTGGTGTGATCTTGGCTCACTGCAACCTCTGTCCCCTGGGTTTAAGCAATTATGCTGCCTCAGCCTCCCTAGTAACTGGGATTACAGGCGTACACTACCATTCCTAGCTAATTTTTGTACTCTTAGTAGAAATGGGGTTTAACATGTTGGCCAGGCTGGTCTCAAACTCCTGACCTCAAGTGACCTGCCCGTCTTGGTCTCCCAAAGTGCTGGGATTTCAGGCATGAGCCACTACACCTGGCTCAAAACACCTGGTATTTTAACTTCAGCTAAAAATGGTTACTTACTTCAAGTGTGGTTGTCAGCAAGGTGAGCTGGAGACTAAATGGTCAATCTAAAGAAACTCTCCTCCTCCTGAGGTCCAAGTTTACCCAAGACAAAGCACTTGTTCCTTATTCCTAAGTCAAAAGTTTCAAACCATAAAGAAGGGCCATTGTCATCTATTCTGAAGAGGAGTCAACTTTAACTTCCTCCTAGTCTACATCCTTGGCGTTTGCAAAGGAAGGCACTGATAAGAATGACTTCTAGTTTAAGGAAAAAAAACAAAGGAAAAACTCTATTACTCCCCCTTTGACATTCCAAACACTTAAGCTCTTATGACCTCTAAAACAGGGTCCATTACCCTCTTTCTCAGGATACCAAAAGTTGGAACATAAAGGAGCTTCATTTCCTATGAAGCTACCCCAAAACCTCTAGCAGCCTAAAAGGAAACCACTACCTGACCTGCAGTGAGGAACAGAGGGTTTATTTTACTTGCTCCAAATAATCCATTTAAACTTTCAATCAATAATTTAGGCTAGGTACAGTGGCTCACACTTGTAATCCCAGCACTTTGGTAGGCCAAGGTTTGAGGATCACTCAAGGCCAAGAGTTTGAGACCAGCCTGGGCAACACAGAGAGGCCCTGTCCCTACAGAAAATTTAAAAATTAGCCAGGTGTTGTGATGTGTGCTTGAAGTTCCAGCTACTCAGGAGGCTAAGGCAGAAGGATCCTTTGAGCTGGAGAGGTCAAGGCTACAGTGGGCCACGATTGCTCCACTGGCCTCCAGCCTGGGTGACAGAATGAGACCCGGTCTTAAAAAAAAAAAATCTATATATTGAACAATCTTGAAATCACAATCCATATGGAAACTAAGTACACATGGGTGGCGCTTTCCACGATTCCCTAGGGAAGCAAAACATGTAACTACCTTTTCACATAAAATAAACATCAGCCCCAGAATCTTAGCTTTCTTCCTAGTAATTATAGTCAGGTGCTTGGATTTATATTCCTATTATGAGAAACCTTTCTCATGGGATAATTCTCAAACGGGGATTGAGTATCACCAGCCCATAAATGAGGCTGCAAAAAAAAAAAACAACTCTCAGCCAGGCACGCCTGTAATCCCAGCACTTTGGGAGGCCAAGGTGGGCAGATCACTTGATGTCAGGAGTTCAAGACCAGCCTGGCCAACATGGTAAAACCCTGTCTCTACTAAAACTACAAAAATTGTATTTGGTGTGGTGGCTGGCGCCTGTAATCCCAGCTACTCGAGCGGTTAGGCAGGAGAATTACTTGAACCCAGGAGGCAGAGTTGCAGTGAGCTGAGATCACACCATTGCACTCCAGCCTGGACAACAGAGTAAGACTCCATCTCAAAAATAAATAAATAAACAAGAACAGCAAAAAACAACTTCTTCAATAGAAAGAGACAACTTACAATCTCTAAATGAACTAATTGCCAGTACCTAAAAGCTTTCAATTCAAGGTTTTCTGACTGCATCCATCTCAGATTTCCAGGACAAGTGGGGAAAAATACATAACCACATGGAATAGATGCCCAGCAAATAACTGCTCTTGTATCTTATTATAATGTGGGGAAGTGCTGCAAGTTAACTATCACACAGTCTGTCTAATACAAACATCTTTAAAGAATTTTTTTTTTTTTTTTTTTTTTTGAGATAGAGTGTTGCTCTGTTGCCCAGGCTAGAGTGCAATGGCGCAATCTTGGCTGCCTGCCAGGTTCAAGCGATTCTCCTGTCTCAGCCTCCCAACTAGCTGGGACTAAAGGCATGTACCACCACACCTGGCTAATTTTTATATTTTTAGTAGAGACAGGGTTTCACCATGTTGGCCAGGCTGGTCTCGAACTTCTGACCTCAGATCATCCACCCACCACAGCCTCCCAAAATGCTGGGATTACAGGCATGAGCCACCACACCTGGCCTAAAGAAATTTTTTTTAAGTATTCAGTATAACTTGGAATTCTAAAGAAACTTCCAAAGAGCATTCTAAAAGGAGGTTCAAATTCTGATACTGAGTACTGGATTATCTTAAGATTTCAGGATCTGTAGGCAATACGTAATATCTCCTAATTTGGCATTACATTTGAATAGTTATTCTGGTGATGAATAAATAGAGTTTAAAAGTCTATAAAAAGGGGCATTGATTAAGAAGCTAAAGCTCAGAAAACCAAACCTCTAAAACCATCTATTTTATGAAGGTAAAGATCCTAGTTGAGGCTGGGTGCAGTGGCTCATGCCTGTAATCCCAGCATTCTGGGAGGCCGAGGCAGGAGGATCACTTGAGCTTAGGAGTTTGAGACCAATCTGGACAACATAGCGAGACTCCATCTCTACTAAAAATCAAAGAATTAGAAAGGTATGGTGGTGCATGCCTGTAGTCCCAGCTACTCAGGAAGCTGAGGCAGGAGGATTACTTGAGCCAGGAAATTAAGGCTGCCGTGAGCTGTGATCCTGCACTCTAGCCTGGGTGACAGAGCAAGACCCTGTCTCAAAAAAAAAAAATTTAAAAAGACCTCCAAATCCAACAGAACAAAAGCTCCATGAATGCAGGAGCTATCTGGTTCACCATTCCATCTCCAGCATGTGCCTGGCACATAGTAGGCACTTAATATATTTTTGTTGAATGAATGAGTATAGCTGAATAAATAAGCCATGCAGGAATGCAGTTTCCAAACATCAAAAGTTCAAGGAGAGATCCATTTTTGGTAAAGATTTTAACATGTAATATTATCTTTTCCGCAGGTTTTTAAGAATGTTCTCTGTTATGCTTTAACTGTCACTATAATTATCTGTTTCTCAAAAACAAAATGTCCAAATGGAAGGTAAATAGTCCCTGATCCAGATGAACCCCAAAGAAAAATATTTAAAAAGGAGAAAACTGAGATGAAAAGCTGTCACACACAGTCTACCCACCAGCAAAAATTGGATCTGCACATTTGATAACAACACTTTCCCAAACTGTTTCCTCTGGTTCTATTTCAGCTAGATAAGCATTTTTTTAGTCTACTGACTTTAAAAATTTTTCCCTTTTATGTAGCCAAGAACTTGTATTTCCCTTGTCCTTTCTTGGTCCTTTCAAATTTTCTCACAACTCACCTGTGTGGCTTTTCACCAGAATTCCTTTTGTTCGGAAAATCCTCCTTCTTCCTCTAAACTCAGCCTGAAAGCATCTTCCCCCTAAATATTAGCCTTTCTGATTTTATAGAAGCTTCATTTCCTTGCAGCAGAGGGTTGGTCTAGCTCTTAAAACTTAATTCATTTTGCTCCATAAAAATAAAAATAAAATCAAACCACAACAAAGCACAGAATCACCTACCAACACACGTCCTTTCTGCCAGCTGCTCATCCAAATATGCCTTTCTGGTGTTGACCTTGTATTCCCTTCATCTTTCTGGTGACTCAATTTTCCAAACCACAGAATTTTTCCCTACCAAGTTCATAAATCCTAAATCATTTTCTGTTATAGATTGTCTCCCAGCTGGGTGCAGTGGCTCATGCCTATAATCACAGCTCTTTGGGAGGCCGAGGTTGGAGGATCACTTGAGGCCAGGAGTTCAAGATCAATCTGGGCAACACAGCAAAAACCTCAACGCTATTAAAAAATATGTGTACAGGCCGGGTGCGGTGGCTCACGCCTATAATGCCAGCACTTTGGGAGGCCGAGGCGGGTGGATCACGAGGTCAAGAGATGGAGACCATCCTGGCCAACAAGGTGAAACCTCGTCTCTACTAAAAATACAAAAATTAGCTGGGCATGATGGTGCATGCCTGTAGTCCCAGCTACTCGGGAGGCTGAGGCAGGAGAATTGCTTGAACCCAGGAGGCGGAGGTTGCGGTGAGCCGAGATCGTGCCATTGCACTCCAGTCTGGGCAACAACAGCGAAACTCCGTCTCAAAAAAAAAAAAAATGTGTACATATATATATACATATATATTTTTTTTTCATTTATCAAGGTGGTTTAGCCTTGGGAAACATATATATATAAATATATGTTATAAATATGTTATCTATATATTATATAGTTATATATACATAAATATATATATATATATATTTCCCAAGGTTAAACCAGCTTGATAAATGAAAGGAACTATGGACAGAAATGAGCTTACTTGCAATAATGCCCTCTAATGTGTTTAACCCTTTGCACATATGTTGTCAGGGAGTGAAGAGATGGAAGGAGGAACAAATGCACTTTACAAATACTTCATCAAGATGATTTCATTTAATCTTCCTAACACCCTTGGGAGGCAGTCAGGGCAGGCATTTATTACTCTCATTTACAGATGACAAAACTAAACTTCAAAAAGGTTTAGGTGACTCGCCCAGCCTCTACCACATGACTAGCAAGTACCAGCCCAAACCTGTATTAAGGTCATGCCTCTTCCAACCCCAAGGCTGTCTCTAACTCCGTAAGTTTCTGTCTACAGCCAATGAGCAACTTCCTAGAGAGTCAGCATTTCAAAGGGAGAGTAGAGCTCTGACTTTTGGAACACCATCTCCCTTCAGCTACCAAGCTGGAAAGCCATCTTCAATCTTCCCAAGAAAAAACAGTGCCTTTCTCTTCTACATACCACTCTTAGCAACTACTTCTTTCCAGAATAATTTCCAACAGTTCCTGTTTTAAAAAAGACTTACTCATAAGACACTAATAGTCCAAAAAGTTTGCATCAGCATATGATTTTCTCAATAAAGTTCAGGGCTGATGCAACATTTTTCAGTCAAACTTTACAGCTAAAATGACAAGAACACAGAACAGTCAAAAAATTATGCAAGACAATGCTACAGTTTTTTACTCCACCACATCTGCCTCTGTGGGTCTCCTGTGAGTCACTGTCTTTCATATTCAGTCATCACTGTAAGAACTGCCATTTTCTACCCTCAATTGTTTTATTTTTTAAAGAAAAGATCTGCAGGGGCCAAGTGTGGTGGCTCATGTCTGTATACCAGCACCTTGTGGGGCTGAGGTGGGAGGATGGCCTGACCCCAGGCGTTCCAGACCAGGCTGTACATTGGACAACATGGTGAGACACTGTCTCTACACACACACACACAGAGAAAAGATCCACAATAAAAACAGAATCCTATTACATCTTTCACCACCTAAAGCAATGATCTCTAAGTTATTTTTTCGATTTTCATAATTACCAGTTTACACAAACAGAAAAAGAGGCATAGTAAGGGTGAAGTTCAATTATTCAGTCATTCAATAAGCACATTTGAAATCCTATCAAAAACCAGGGAATGAGACCCAAGAGTGAGAAAGAAGTGTCCCTCCTCTTGTAGCCTGGTGGAGAGAAAAAGTAAAGAAATAATTACAGGACAAACTAATCAAGATTAAGGTGTGGGAAGGCACATGGGCTGGGGCTGTAGAAAGCATGGGATGCTTCCTAGAGAAAGTAATTTGTGAGTATTTATAAACATCTATCTCTTTACTTTCAATGCAAAATAAACCTGAAAGACTTGACTCTATTTCCTGAAAGGTTATAAGACTTACTTGCCAATAGTCAAGTCAAAAATCAAATTTCATAGCTGAATTACTCTTGACTCCCTATCCTAAATTTCAACCCTTAAGCCATACTCCCTTTAGGCGCAATTGATAGCAAGGGAGTCCCCTATATGTGCCTTCTCACGTGTCTATAGAATATGACTAAAGATACCCAGAGTGAAATAAATCACATTTTTAAAAAAGATAATCATTTTATTAACTGGAAGTGAATGCTTCGAACAAGTCAAGCCCTACAAAGCATGGCTGTCAGAAGAGGAAACCGAGGTTCAAAAAAGTCACACTTTAATACAACAGAATGAAAGGTCTCTTTGAAGTCACCAGAAGAGCTTGAACGAAAAGAGAAACAGAAGGCTATTGTGGGCTTTAGCCTCCAGATGATGAGCCCCCAAACACACTGCTACGATAAACAAACAAGCCTCTGAGCCTGAAACTGATTCAGTGGCCTGGCAAAACATCACAATTGAAGGAATCTCTCTCCTCATTCATCACTTCTCCAAAAAAGTCCCACTGGCTGGTAGCTCCAGGTTTCTTGCTGGTTCCCGGATTTATTGCTTGTAAATTATAATGCATAGTGTACCTTTCAAAAAAAGGTACAAGCAAATGAAAACAACCACGGTTTTAAAGCCCCATAAAATACAGTATATATAGCAGAAACGAACTCTGTCCGTGTTTGCTATGAGGACCTATTACTCCTTTATGCTACTCGAGTGGATTTTAAACTCGAATGCTACCACTGCCCACTGAAGAGCAAGTTAGAAAAGCACATTAATACACCTGCTTCAGCAGTCCCCCCTGGCTGCTACCCCCACCACTTCCCGGGGCCAGGGCCAAGCAGCTGACGAGGAAACGGGGCTGCAGACCCCAGCCACTTGCACTCTGCTGTCCCAACAAGTAGGATCTGAAGTCACACTTCCATTTGGCCCGGCACTCACTCATTCCCATCACCCAGACCCTCTGCTGCCAGAAGGAAACTCCACGGCCTCAAAGAGGAAAAGGCTGGCGGCGGGCAGGAGAGGATAGTCCTGAGCGGTCTCGTTCCCGCTCCCCCCGCCCAAGGTGAGCCCGGGGCTCCCGCACCTCCCGCCCCCCAACTCGGAGGCGCTTTCCAGGTCGCCGCCGACCTCCTTCCACCCCGCAGCGCCGGGGGCTGCGGTACCCATCCTCTGCCCCACCGGGCCTCTGCGTTCGCCTGGGCCCCGGGGGCCCTGACCCAGACCCAGCGGCGCGCCACAGCCCTCCCGGCCAGGGCCGCCCACCCTGTGGCCCGCTCCCCGTCCCACGACCCTGTCCGGCCAGCGCCCTGCAGCCCGCAGCCCCTTCGTGGCCCGGGGCCGCCCCACGCCGCCCGCCCGCCCGCCCGCAGGGCCGCGCACCGTGTGGGACTGCAGGCTCTGGCTCGCCTCGATGGCTGCTGTCAACGGCACCGTGTCGTCCAGCAGCACCTTGCCGGCTGGCGGCTTCTCCATGAAGGCCATCCCGGGACGCCCGGCCGCCGCCGCCCAGGGACGCGAGGCAGGAACCCGAAGCGCCGACTCCCGCCGCCCGCCCGGCTCCAACGCCGCCGCTGTCAACACGCGCCGCCCCACGCGCTGCCGGGCCCGTGGGGTCCTAGCGCCGCCCTCCCCACCGCCGCGGCCGCCCCGGAGTCCTAGCGCCGACGCAGCGGAGACGCTGCGGGGGCCGCCAGCAATGTCGCCCGCAGGCCCGCGCATCCGCCTCGCGGCTGCCAAGCACCTATGCCTCCCACCTCCTCGCAGCCTCACCGCAGACTCGGTGCCCTTAGCTCCGGGCATCGGACCTGGGAACACCACCCTAAGCCATCACCACCAGGATCCTCAGATCCAGAGACGCCTGGTCCTGAGCCCTGGGATCCAGGAATCTTCAGGGCGAGATTTCCAAACCAGGCCTCTCAGAACTGGGCTTTTCTGGGACTGTACGTCTTGAAACCCTCAGAACTGGACCTCTCTCATCCCTCCAGGCCCAAGAACCCTAAAACTCAGATAAAGGGCCTTCAGGATGGGACCCCCAGTCTGAGCCCTGCAGACCCAGAGGCTTTCTGAAACAAGCCCTTCAGATTGAGACTTCACAGGGACTCTTGAACCGGCTCTTCAGACCTGAACACCTAAGAGCTGGACCCCATAATTGGAGGCCTTGAATCCCAGAACACTCAGAACCAAGCTCTAAGAACTGGAGACCCTATAAAATGGTCCAGAGACCCCTGGCCTCTACTCTTGGCTCCCACTGCTTGCTCAGCCACATCCCTTAGACTTAGGAGTTTTTGATCCCACCATATGGACTCGAAGAACTTCAAACCAAGAGCCAAGCCCGAGAACCTTGGGATCAACTTCTCAGCCCTAAATCAGCCCACAGTCTGCCTGAACCCAAAGCCATAATCCTGGCACCACCTCATTCCCTACCCCCCATACACACATAAAGTTTCACCCACACTGCCCTCTCCTAGGGCAGCATTCCAGGATAGTGAAGAGTTAAGTTTAGAATAGGATGACCATCATCTCCATGGCTCTGGCATTTACCGGCTATGTGATCTTGAATAAGTTACCCAACCTCTCTGAGTCCCAGCTCCCCAATCTGCAAAGTGGGGATAAAGTTATTTGTATGAAAAGGTTAATACAAGGAATGCAGTAGACTGGGAAGGGGCTTGGCACATAATAAAAACTCAAACAGTACCAGGCACCACCGCTCATGCTTGTAATCCCAGTACTTTGGGAGTGCCAAGGCAGGTGGATCACCTGAGGTCAGGAGTTTGAGACTATCCTAGCCAACATGGCAAAAACCTCCTCTACTAAAAATACAAAAATTAGCTGGGCATGGCGGCACACCCCAGTAGACCTAGATACTCAGAAGGCTGAGGCAGGAGGTTGCAGTGAGCCAAGATCGTACCACTGCAGTCCAGCCTAGGTGACAGAGTGAGATTCCATCTTAAACAAACAAACACAAAACCAACCAACAAACAAACAACAACCTCAAACAGTGGTCAGGTGTGATGGCTCCCCTTTGTAATTCGAGCACTTTGGGATGCTGAGGAGAGTGGATGGCTTGAGCCAAGGAGTTCAGCCTGGGCAATGTGGTGAGAGCCCATCTCTACAAATAAAATTTTAAAATAGCTGGGCATGATGGCTCACACCTGTGGTCCCAACTACTCGGGAGGCTTAGGTGGGAGAATTTTTTGAGCACAGGAGGTTGAAGCTGCAGTGAGCCACGATCGTGCCACTTCACTCCAGCTTAGGCAAAAGAGCAAGACTCTGCCTCTAGAAAAACAAAGTCAATATTAGTTTCCTCCTTCCCCTACAGTTCACAGAATGGAAGGTTCCTAATTCTTAAATTTGCCTCCACTAAATTTCTACGTTTCATATAAGGAAACAAAGTTTCTTGGCAATCCCACCATCACCACCAAAATTTGACATCACAGGAAAGGCCCACATCATATATAAAGGGTCCCTTCTCCAGATCTCAAGCTTAATGGGATTGCTGGGCAGCCCCATGGAGTCAAGTGGCCATGACAGACTGGCCTTGGGGGCCAAGATCCAATAAAGCAAGCTAGATGTGAAGAAGGAATCATGGAACTTCATGATTCAGCCCTAAAATAATCAGAACTTTCCCTCCATTCCATTTTTGTCTCACTGTATTTAAAAGCAGCAGTCTATTAAAGCAAAACCATATGTCATTTAGGGAGGATTCAACTTTTTACTTTCATTTCTTTGTTTAAGGCAAATTATTTCACTGCCAGAGTCACAGAAACCAAAATCCAGCTATAATCCTATCGTGATATGGACTGACCAAGACAAGGTTCTTTTCTCTTCCTGCTGGTAGGATTATAAATTGGCCCGACCTTTCTGGAGGTCATTCATACATTCATTCAACAATTATTTGCCAAGTACCTACTATGTAATAGGCCTGGTACTAGGAGCTAAAACAAATATATATTAAAAGCTTTAAAAATGTCCTTATGCTATGACCAAGTAATTCTGCGTCTAGGAAGGTATCCTAAGAATATCCTAAGAATAATCAGAGATCAGAGCAAAAAAATAGCGTGCAAGGATAAATGTCTAACAATTGAGTTTTGGACAAATCTTGGTACAATCGTGAACTTTTTGCAACATTAAAAATCAGGCCAGGCTAAGTGGTGCATGCCTGTAGTCCCAGGTACTTAGGAGGCTGAGGTGGGAGGATCACTTGAAACCAGAAGGTTGAGGCTGCAGTGAGCCAAGACTGCATCACTGCATTCCAGCCTGGGCAACAGAGCAAAACCTGTCTCAAAAAATATATAAATAAGAATAGTCACATAATTAAAGAATATTTGATGATCTTGAGAAATGCTCTTTTTTTTTTTTTTCTTTTGAGACAGAGTTTCACTCTTGTTACCCAGGCTGGAGTGCAATGGCGCGATCTCGGCTCACCGCAACCTCCACCTCCTGGGTTCAGGCAATTCTCCTGCCTCAGCCTCCTGAGTAGCTGGGATTACAGGCACGCGCCACTGTGCTCAGCTAATTTTTTGTATTTTTAGTAGAGACGGGGTTTCACCATGTTGACCAGGATGGTCTCAATCTCTTGACCTAGTGATCCGCCCGCCTCGGCCTCCCAAAGTGCTGGGATTACAGGCGTGAGCCACCGCGCCCAGCCCCCCGAGAAATGCTCTTACTAGTAGGCAATTTAGCATCTGTATAATCCCAATATATCTATAGGACAAACACCAGAAGGAAATATATCAAAATATGGTCTGAGTACAGAGGCTCACACCTGTAATCCCAGCACTTTGAGAGGCTGAGGTGGACAGATCACTTGAGGTCAGGAGTATGAGGCCAGCCTGGACAACATGGTAAAACCCTGTCTCTCCTTTTAGAGAAAAATTAGCCAGAGCGTGGTGACTCACACCCGTAATCCCAGCTACTTGGGAGGTTGAGGCAGGAGAACCACTTAAAGCCAAGAGGTGGAGGTTGCAGTGAGCCGAGATTGTGCCACTGCACTCTAGCCTGGGTGACAGAGTGAGACTCCAACTCAAAAATAAATAAATAGACTGGGCGCAGTGGCTCACACCTGTAATCCCAGCATTTTGGGAGGCCGAGGTGGGCAGATCATGAGGTCAAGAGATCAAGACCATCCTGTCCAACATGGTGAAACCCCGTCTCTACTAAAAATACAAAAATTAGCTGGGCATGGTGGCACACGCCTGCAGTCCCAGCTACTCCAGAGGCTGAGGTAGGAGAATTGCTTGAAACTGAGGCGGAGGTTGCAGTGAGCTGAGATCAAGCCATTGCACTCCAGCCTGGCGACAGAGGGAGACTCCATCATAAACAAACAAACAAACAAATAAATAATGGTGGGCCTCTAAGAGGCAGAATCACGAGGCTTTATTCTGTATGCTTTTCTGCATGTAGCTTTTATGATTAAGGGGGAAAATGTTAGATAACTGGAGTCCAGTGCTCTGACAACTGGTTCCGTAAGTTAGAAGAGTAACAGGAAGAAGGCTTCTCTGAATCTGGCCACTGGGAGTTAGCTCCATTTTCTCTGTAATCTGTGCAAACACACAATCCAAATGCTTTTTTAAGAGAAATCGACTTGTCCATGGTTCATACCTTACAAGCAATTTCACATGCTCTGAGGAATGCATTTTGCATACTTTTCCAAATTAGATTATTTTTGTTTAAGATTATATGATTGGTAGATAACAATCTCCATGCATGTGTTTTTGACAAATGATCACAGTAGTGATTTTTTTCAAAGTCAGTAAGTGGTACTTAAAAACTTTCGATATTGCAGGTCCTGTAGAGGACAAAATGGAAAAGAAGCAAACTCCTTTTTGTCCAATAATTTTTGAGGGTAGAAAAGATTGTCACAGTAATCCTGGCACCTTGGGAGACTGAGATGGCAGGATGGCTTGAGGCCAGGAATTGAAGACCATCAGGGTAACATAGTAAGACCCTGTCTCTACAATGTTTTAAAAAATTAACCAGGTGTGGTGGTGCGTAGTGCATGCCTGTAGACCTAGCTACTCAGAAGGCTGAGGTGGGAGGATATCTTGAGCCTGGCAATTTGAGGTGGCAGTGACCCGTGATTGTACAACTGCCCTTCAGCCTGGGCAACCCAGCAAGACTGTCTATTAAAAAAAAAATTAAAATCAAAAATTAAGGAAATCAGCAGATGAACCATACAGGGAGAGAAAAGTTGTTCTATGGAAAGGAATTCAAATACTTTTCTCCCCGGAAGGGAAGTGAACAGAAAAGGAATTAGAATTGAAGGTCAGAGTTGCAAAGGTCATGAAATAACAACCTTGTCTAGTTTTCCTTTCTAAGGAAAGGAAACTGAAAGTGAGAAATCAGGTGTTTGATGGAGTGAAGCCAGAGACAAGCTCTCAGTCTACCCTTTCCCTTTCTCTGCGAATTCTTCTGGGAAGTGAGGCCCTTAAAATAAATATTGTGGTGAGCCTCATGATTTATTTTTATCTATCCAAATCAGTGTCTTGTCAGTGATTCTCTGAGGATACTGGACTTAAACTGGATTCATGATCCATGGGGAACCAGGTTTCAAACCCCAGGACAGCCTCAATATCCATTTGGCAT